CATAGTTAAACTTCCATTCGACCTTTCAATTACAGATTTGTTCAAAACCAGTGACATTCCATTTAAGCTATCCTTCATTGTGGAGTCCAATGATGGCTGGTGGCCATCTGCCTCCATGTCCTGGTCGCCTGCTAAAAAGGCTGAAAAATTGGGAGTGATGAATTTGAAATTTTCTCTCTCTATCAGGAGGTTCCCTCTCTAGCGGGAGTGATGCCTAATAAGCATTACAGAGTGTAGTGTATGGAAAATTCATGGAGAAGGGAGTAGTTATGGTGGTTGCACAAATGGGGCCACCCTCTCTTTTATTCTTTCCCTCATTTATTTTGATTTTAAAATGTTGAGATGCATTTTTAGTTGATTTTCAATTGAATAAACCATTCTAAGATTGAAATGAATAGAGATTTAGTTTTCTTTCACATTTTGGAGAGAAATTCCAAGTAGCTTGAAGGCTAGCCATACTCAAGGAGATTGGTTGATCTCCTTGAACAACTATTTTGCTTCATATTTTTTTATTTCATATATTTTTCCTTAGTACAATTTTCATTCTTATTGTTCTTCTCTTAGTATTCCAAGTTATCATTTCACTTAATTTAAATATTATTAACCATAGATAGTATTGTCTAGGAGTTATGGAATTGTTGGACCTATTCTACTATTGAAAATATTTGACCAACCAAAACTACTCAGAACGTACTAAAATATCGAAATCATTATTATAGATCCTATGCTTCAATTATCTTAAATGTATTTTATTTTGTTATAGTCAAAATATTAGATATCCACTCAACACAAATTTTATTTTTTGTTTATTGTTTTAGTTTTGTATTATGTCTCTAGCCAAAAAATAACCACAAAAAATATTAAAACTTAAAGAAAAATTTAAAACTTTAGGTCCCATCTGGAGGATATACATGATAGATTCCAAGTGGAGTTTATGAATTATATTTGATTTATATAAATCCATATCCAAATTCCTAACGTTTTTCAACTCTAAATAGAATGGACCTATACTACTTCTTGAGCACAGTCAACTCACCAAACCATTTCGTATCCTTACCGAACTCTCAAGGAGTATAGTAGGCATCCTCACATACAAAAAAGTAAAATGTTCTTGATTTAGACATATTTAAAGGGTAGAACATTAGTATGAAAAGGTATTTTATTCTATACATATTTTGGGAAGTCTTGGCCTCTTAAACACTCTAAACTTCATCGCCTACTTGAGTTAATTCTACTTGAGTTAATTTTAATCACGTCAAAAGCATTCCCAATCCACCAGTTGAACACATCAGGGATCTAAGCCCACCATCCAATATTCATCAACATTTTGTGTTGCAATCTAGGAGCCCGAGCCTGTATTTTGATGATTACAAATATTATTGGTGTTTACATACCTTCTCCTACTTGTTATTATTGTATATATTTTCTTTTTGTGTACTAAATTTTCAATTACATCATATATAAAGAACCACCAAAGGATTATAGCTCAAGACTGGGGAGTGTAGGATTCATTTCTACAAAAGTTTATATTTTTATATTTTCTTAAGTAAATATATTATAAAAAGTGTATGTTAGCTTAGCGGCCATATGCTTACCTAAATTTCAGTGAGGACAGTGATCTAAATAAAAAAAATCTAGTCTCCACACTTAAATCATTGAACTATATATCAAACTATAAATTCAGACCATCATTGTGCTCTAGTACAGTGACTAAATTATTGACTTAAAAATCATCACTTGATAATCATCATTAAATGTCATTTGATCAAATGATTTATTACCTAACAATCACCAAATGACTGTCAGTGATATGATCATTATAAAACTAAATTTCCTTCATTCATTGATCTACATTAATCAATTGAAAAGCTAAATCAAAACGACACCCCAAATCCATCAGTTGATTATCCATATTGATAATCAGCTGATCGCATGCTCGATCACGCATAATCATTATTTATTGTAAATTATCTAAGCATTTCAAATCGTAGATCATTTTAAATTTTTAATAAAATAAATATAAATTAAACTCATTAATCAAACCCATTGCAAACCTAAAACTCCAAAATACAGTGTCATAAGCAAACCTAAAATCCCTTTGTCCATAACCTATTTTTCAAGAGATTTTCATTGCTCTGAAACTTGACCAATTGACCTTGGATTAATGATCTATCATTTTCAGGTTGATTAGGCATGTTACTCAACAACATAAATATAATTAATATTGTATCAGATAATGATACCATTTGAATTTAACTTCTAAATGGGTCCTATCCTGATAAATCTTTTGATTAAAATGATGTTGCATTAACTATGGATAGTGCAGATCCCATAACAGTCTCTCCCTAAAAAGAGATTGAAGGAATATAATTTCATATTGGCACGGTCTTGCCACCTAGACTTGTATCTTGTAAGAAAAATATACCACTTCTAAAGTGTACTGGGTCCAAATTTTCAAGATAGTTGATTTATCTTTCTAATAGAAATTGACCTCTACCTTACATCTTAAGCAGTAGAGAGTTATGGTTGACTCTACTGGATACTTAAAGGCTCCTCTCTCCCACTGCTTTTGTTGGTTGATTTGACTATTGAATTAAAATCTGTATCAAATGTAAGTTGACTTTAGAAATAAAATCTTTTCAATCATCTTACAATTTTCTATCTTAATAGGCATCTCTTACATGTTTTAAATCTATTCAACGAGTTTCCTAGTCAAGGTTATACCTTTATTAAAACCTTTGGGACCACTTTGAGGATTATCCTTACTTGCATAAGAGAATGAGTTTTCTTCTCTTATACTTGAGATATAATACCATCATTTAAAAAAAAGAAGAGATTAATCATTTTAAGATTTTAAAGAAAGTGAAGTCTCAAATCAAGATCAATAAAAATCAAAAGATATGAAAAATGCTCCATAAATTAAAAGATGTGCAAAGTATGCCACCAAAAAAGAGAGAAAGAGGTTTCCTTATTTTCAATCCTTAAATTCAAAAAGACCTATTCACTCTTAATTGCTTTACTTTGAAAACTTTTGAATCTAGATTAATCATAATGCATCAATAGTCAATTAGATATAAAAAAATACTCAAGAAAAAGAATTGAAAAGATCAAATTTCTCTCTCCAATTTAAACATTTTGAAATTAATTTTAATACAAGGTAGAACCCTAGTTCAGTTTTAGTGAAACTTCATCTTGGTCAATAAAACCAAAATCATTAAATCTTTTGAGATTTTTTGGAGTTGACTCTACTTCTCACTTTAACTCATATATTTTTTTTCCCATTTTTCATTCTAATAGGGTCTAAATGATTAAAAAGAAAATTTTAATTAAAGCAAATGAATCTTCTTCTCAAAACAAAAATTAAAATCTTATCCATGAGGAATGTATGTAAGTCCTTTCAAATATGCATCTTTTCCTTTAAGGCTTTCTATTCGAAATCATACTGTATAATGGGTCCAACATCGTTCCCACCTAGAGGTGTGTATCTATCATTGGAAATTTCCTTTCAAAATCAAATCAAAATTGAGCAAAGTGCCTTACTCTAATTGGAGGAGATCGAGGCCTTGCAGAGCATCATCTCCAAGGCTCAACAAAACTCAGAGTTGTATAAAGCCTAAATGGTTTAAGCTAGTGATAAGTTAGTGCGACCTAGAACTCACCAAGTAAGATACTTGGTTCTAGTTCCTTAGATGCCAATCTTAGCCCATCGAAAGATTGGTGGGGAGTTTAAACATACATAAGAATGATCTTTTATCATAGAGACAATCTTTGAGGATGGTTTAAACATCAACTAATCAATATTGAAGGATGATATTCGATATTTTTGAAGATTGGGGAGGCTCTTCAAGAAGTACTATGCCAAATGACTATTAAATTTAACATCAAAGAAAATTCTTCAAATTAAAAAAAATTGAATTAAAAACTATTCATATTCAAGAAATCAAATCAAAATCAAAACCCATCAAATTCAAAATTAAAGAAAATCAAATTAAAAAAATTATCAAAATTAAAATTTCAAATTCAAGGATGTAGAATCGATCCTCAGAGTGGAGCAAGTTTCCTCCCGAAAAGATCATCCAGACACGATCCTCTATAAGGAGCAAGCTTCCTCCCCATATGATAATCCACTAGTGATGTAGAGTATGCCCTCTGTGGCACCACATTAGTTTCAAAATCTTGATTTTTATCTTTTGTGTTGAGCAAGTTTTTCACTACAGGAAAAACGCTGAAAACCGGCGGTTAGTGTAGATTTACCGGCGGTTTTTAACGTTATCGGCGGTCTAACGGCGGTTTGTTAACCGCCGGTAAAAACGGCGTAGGAAACCATTTCCGACGGCTTTTTACCGGCGGTTAATTTTGTGCGGCGGTTTTCCGGCGGCCAATACCGCCGGTGACCACCGGAATTTTAACCGTCGGTCTTCCGGCGGTTAGGCCGCCGGTATTGTAACCGCCGGAAAACCGCCGGTCAAATTACCGGCGGTTGTCCGGCGGTTAAACCTGGCGTCGTCTGGTTTATTAGACCGCCGGACGGCGCCGTTAGACCGCCGGTAAGGTACCGACGGTGGACGGCGGTTATAGCCGTCGGTATTACCGACAGTTTAAACCGTCGGGCGTCCATCGTATAACCGTCGGCGGCCGTCGGTAAGCCGACGGTACGTACCGGCGGTTTAATAATATAACCGGCGGCTTTATCTTGTCCGTCCGGTATCGTAGTTTCCGACGGCTAAACCGCCGGTTAGCCGCCGGAAACCTATAGCACCTAAAAAAAAAAATTGACAGCATCCCCTCTATTTGAGGGAGGTTCACCCTAAAGTCTAAACCTGCAGAAAAAGCATATATATGTTGGGCAACACGCCGCTATATTCATCACAACCAGAAAATACAAAATTCATCACAACATTACAATCACAAATTCACAAAATAGTTCATGATAATGCTACAATCACCAGTTCAGAAGTTCACAAGTTCTAATTAATACATTCATCAAACATAATAAACATCTAATCATCATCGGTATCCTCACTATCTACAGATGGTTGCTCCTGTTGGTCCTTCTTCCTTTGTTTTCCAGCTCTGTAGGATTGCAACTCTGCTTGCATTTCATTCTGAACCCTTTTCATCTCTTCAATCTCTCTAGTAAGTGCTGCAACCCTCTCACTTACAGATTCTTCAGCTCCACTTGGATCATGGAATGCAGAGGTGTATGAACTGGACTCAATAGCAAAAGCTTGTGAACCCATGCCATATACCCTCCCCCTCTGTCTTCCACCAACAACTTCTGACCATGTCTGATACTCAGAAGTATGGGCCGATCCAGAAGATGATCCCTCGCCAGTGGACTGCCTACTTTCTCTAACTCGTAAGAAATCATCCTGCAAGTTACAAATAGTTTTATTAAAATAAATTTTTATTCTAAAAATCCAAAAAATTTTACTCACATGAGCCTTCTTAGATTTCTCATCAACCCACTGCTGGTCAGCTTGATGTTGATGAGTTCTTGTATGCAGCTCCAATGGTGTTGGCTCCCGACCCAGGTGCGCTTTCTGAAAATTTGATGCTTAGTTATACTAACATAAATATATGTAATAAACCAATTCAAAACACTTACCAGTCGCCGCCTATGTTCTGTATGAGGTACAGATCCACCAGTATGAAGAGAGCTTCCTAAACCGCCGCAGTCAGAGGCTCTGTTCTGTTTATTCTGCTCTCTCATTTTTATAAACTCCGGGGTAGCCCAAGCACTACTCAAATCTGCCCAAACGCCCTCTCCAATCCAATTAGGCCTCTGCCCGGACTTTCTAATGTCCGTGAACATGTCTCTGAGACGGGTCGCTCCTCTCCTCTCAAAATTAGATCTGATCCTCGTGCTGTACTCAGGCAACCACCTAAATTCTTTCTGTACAAATTTAGGCAATATCAAAAAGATTAGTACAAATTAAATCATATATTTGAAATCATACAAAAAAAAAATATACCTGAAATTCTCCAAACCA